TTCTTCGCGCGCAACTGAGGCAGCGTGATAGCAAGGAGCTGCGGCGGGGCCGGGGGGGTTGAATTGGGACGGCCCATGCGTCGTACGGCGCCGGACTATCTCCTGATCCGCCGTACATGCCGTGCTGTACAGGTACTACGCTGATGTCATTGCGATCAACAACCTGGAGGTGGAGATGCGTGCGTTGAGTAACGCCCAGTTGCGATCCAAGACGGGTGGGTGGGCGGGCGGGTGGGCGGGTGGCAACCATACTGGGCAGGGCAGGGCGGGGTAGGTACGCAGCGGACAGCGCAACGTGGTTGGCGCCATGGCCCGCTACAGCCAGCCAGCGCTGCAGCAGCAGCTCCCCATTGGCTGCTGTAGCCTGAACGCTACCTACAGCTGCTGCAGCGGCGAGAGTGGGTCCGGAGGGTTTCTGCGCTGGTGTAGCCGGACGAGGGAAAGGGCGAGTGGACGTGTTCTCTGACCTGCCAGCCGCCTGGAATCTGACCCTTCAGCCACATCAGCACATTTCCACCTCACATGGCACATTGCTTTCCGATAGGTGTTCTGCTTACACCCGTTATCCCGCCACCACCATCATCACCACCGCCCCCACCACCTCAACGCAAACCCACATCCGACCCCCCCCCTTCCAGTGGAATTCAAACGGCGGCTGTCTGAAGGAGCTTCTCTTCTGTCCCTGCGTGTGGAGGCCTTTGCGGTGGTGCGTGAGGCGTCCCGGCGGGTGCTGGGGATGAGGCACTACGACTGCCAATTGGTGAGAGGGGGATTGGGGCCAGAGGCAGATGCACATGGGTTTGCTTGGGGGGGAGCGGTAAAAGTAGGGAAAAGGGAATAATGGGATGCAGGATGTGAATTTACAAGTACGATCTGCGCTCGCTGTCGTGCTGTGGTGTGGCGTAATGTGTTGCGAAACCAGCAGCAGTTTGTGACCTGGTGTGCTCTGGATGCATGCCTGGATGAGCCAGTGGGCTCTCTTCGCTCAACCTCTCTTCGCTCAACCTCTCTTCGCTCAACCTCTCTTCGCTCAACCACCATCACGGTGATTCACTGGGCACGAGCAAGTTATCCCCCGCTGCCACGTGGTGGTTTCTTGAGTGTTTCCTCCACATCCTATAAATAAATAACCAAAAGCCTTAAAGAAAACCAAAAAATAAACCAGAAAGCCCTAAAACAATTTAGAAAAAATAAAACTTTTTTAAAATTGTACATCCCTAAATAACCTTCATAATTAGAACAATCCCTTAAAAATGCTTTAAAAACTTAAAAATAAATCCCCCCACTGGTTGGCAGGTGGGCGGCATGGTGCTTGCAGATGGCCAGGTGGCGGAGATGCAGACTGGGGAGGGTAAGACCCTCGTGGCCACACTGCCCGGATACCTGGGGGCGCTGACGGGGCGGGGGGTGCACGTGGTAACGGTCAACGACTACCTGGCGGCACGTGACGCGGCGTGGTGAGACGGGGTCGGGCTTCAGGGGTTGTGAAGGGGGGAGGGGGGGAGTTTGCGAAGGAGGTCGCGCAAGTGTGTGTGTGTGTGTGTGCTGGGGGTCCTTGTGAAAACGGGGGAGATGGGGGGGAGGAGGGGGACGGCAGGGCCGCGGCTGAGTGGTAGGTGGTAGGGGCGGTCCTGGCCGCATCGCGGCATTATCAATGGCTAATGGGAGCGTTACGGGGAGTAACGCTGTTTTGTACGTGTGTGGGTATGTCGGCACGGGTTATGGGTGGGTAGGAATGCAACCACGGCCAGCCCTGGAGGTGGGGGCTACCGCCGGTGCTGCCGTACTTGATCATCTGCACAAGCGCCTCCTGCTGCCGCCGCCGCCAACGCCGCTGCCGTAACGTGCTTTCGGTTCAGGATGGGCAAGCTGTACCGCTTCCTGGGGCTTACCTGTGCTGCCGTACAGTCAACCAGCAGCGTCGCCGCCGCCCGTGCCGCCTTCGCCGCCGACGTCACCTACGTGACGGGCCAGGAGCTGGGCTTCTCGTACTTGCGGGACAATACGGCACTCAGTCCGCAAGACCTGGTGAGTCACATTACCTGGCCGTACACATACATGACAGCTCACAAGGCCCCAACTCCCTGTCGCCTCTTTGAATGTCGTACGGTCGAGATACATAATGGAGTAGCGGGCCCGGTGTGTGTGCCGGGGTTGCGCATTAGAGGGCCGAGAAGGAAACCCTAAGAGAATAAATAGGTTTCGGAGCCGATCCAAATCCACGTGCGCGCAAGAGAGAGAACATTCTAGCTGCGGGAAGAGGGGGCGCCACCGCTAGGCTGCTTGAAGCTAAAGGGGCGGAAGGGGGAAGGTGAGGGGGATGTTAGGAGTGGATTTTAGGAGTGAGGACGACAACACACACGGCGTCGTCGTCGCCGATGCCCTCACCCACTGCGCTCACCGTCCATGTGCCCACATTCCATATGCCCAGTGTTTTTCATATTTTCATACCCACCCAAGCACCACTGCTGCAAGCCAACATATCGTCCACAGTGGCCATCTTATTCATTTTTCCATCTTACCATCTACCTACCCCTACCCCACCTCCCAACCACTTCTTGTACACTCTTTCCTTGGCAGCAGCTTCACTCGTTCACGTGGTTCGTCTTTCCCCCCAACCACTTTCCCTTACCCTCCCTTCCCCCTGCCTCTCCCTCATCCCTCCCACGGCAGATGCTCCGTGATGACCGGTTCCACTTCGCCATTGTGGACGAGGTAGATTCCATCCTCATTGACGAGAGTCGCAACCCCATGATCATATCGGGCAAGGGCTCCAGCGACACGCGGGTGGTGCAGCTGGTGGACAAGGTGTGGGGGGAGGGTGGCGGGTATGATGGTGGGTGCAAGGAATGGTGTCGAAATGTGGGGGGCGGGCGGTACGTAGAAAGGTGGATGGCGACATGGAAATGGTGGGTGCAAGGTAAGGAGGAGGAGGAAGAAGGCCCAACTCGATGATCCTTGGAGTTGGTGGATGAGTTAAATCGCATTATCGTCACTGGTAGAATAGTAGCAATGACGTTAGGTAGGGGTTCAGAATATACGGAAACTCTGTACTGTATGCCGTACAGAAACGGTGGGTAGGTAAATAGAGCTGGAGCCCAGCGCTGTTGTGCGTGGGGCGTCCTGGATCAAGTCTTAGCGAAGGTAAGGGGGAGAATGTGAGGGATGGTGGGTGCAACAGAAAGAAGAGGAGGGAAAGTGTAAAGAAGGAAAGAAGCTTGCTGTTGGGGCCGGTGAGTCTACACAACTATCCAGAAAACCAACCGCAAGAATTAGCCACGCTTTTTATTGGTAACGAAAGCCCTTACGCGTCTTCATATATTGCTTCTTGTCATGTGTCCAGTAGCTGTGCCAAACCCTTGACGTGTCCGCGATCAGGCTGTACGGCGGCTCTGGGAGCATGTTCAATCGGAAATCGCCGCTGAAGTAGCGGCCTGCGGACCCGATGCGTTGTCGGACACGGAGCTGCAGCGGCTGACGAAGGGCGTCAAGTCCAGGTGGGTGATGGTGGAGGTGGAGGTTGCGGTGGTAGTGGTGGTGTCTCTTTGGTCTTTTTTGGTCAGCAATAGCAATGGTAGTAATAGCAGTAGGTGCATGATGTGGCGGTGTGTTCCTTAAGGAACGCACTTCTTTAAGAATTGGGGCGTCCAGCCCCTCCCTTTTCGGTCAGTTTGTACGTTTGCTACTCTCTTGCCCTGGCAGCAGCTTCAATCGCACGTGGTTCGTCTTTCCCCTCCCTCCCCTTCCCTCTTTGCTTCCCTCCTCACACCACTGCCTCATGGACCGGGCCGTGTCCTGGCCCTGCATGACACATCAAGTCGGTTTTTTTATCAATAACCCGACCGAATAAAAAACGTAATATGTTATGAAAACTTTTTAGTTGTTTTAGCTTCTTCGTAATGCTTTATAGTAGTGGTATATATAACTAAACTGAAATACATGCATTGCTGCGTGCGGTATTACCCTGCCGCAGGTATTACACGGTGGACGAGAAGAGCCGTACACTGTCGTACAGCTCTACCGGTACACACCTGATCTTCCTTCACCTCCGTGAGTGTTCATACCATGTCCCGCGTCCGGACCTGGGCACCTCGGGCTAGGATCTCTCGGGAATCCACCAGGACCGTTAATTTAACTGTTGATTTAACAACTCCCTAACTCCTTCGCATGGAGGGTCAACTTCACTTTCTGGGTCGCGTAGTCCACCTCTCCGTTCCACCCGCCCTTCCCCGCCCTGCCCCGCCCTCCTCATCTCCCCCTCTCCTCTGTCCTTGTTTATTGGTTTAGTCTTGGAGTGTGCGTCTCTGGGTTTTCCTCCTTGTTAATCGTCTGTGCTTCGTCGTACGCCCCCTCTGGCCCTCTACCCCGCTCCACGCACTCGCTCGTACCCCTCTCCTCGCCGGCGGCAGTGGACGAGGGAGCTCAGTTCAGTGACCCCTACCCGGGAGTGCACAGCCTGTGGGAGGAGGAGGTGCCCTGGGGCAGGCTGGCGGTCACATCGCTCACGGTGGGGTGGCGGTGCGGCTGGGGGAAAGGGCTGCCCGGGCCACGGGAAGGAGACCCCGGAGGGAACAAGGGGGGAAGGAGGGCCCCGGAGGCCTCGAAGATGATGGGCAGGGAAAGCCGGAACCCTAACCCAAAACACGCACACCCAAACCCGAGCCGCTAGGTAGATTTTAATAAATTGCACTGTTGTCGTACAGGCGTACGAGCTGTACATCAACGGCAGGGACTACATTGTACGGGACGGCGAGGCGGTCATCGTGGACCCCTCCACCGGCCGCATACGCCCCCAGACTCGCTGGCAGGGGGGCATACACCAGGTGGGGTGTGCACTTGTGTGTGGGTTATTCGTACAGTACGACTGTGCCACAATGCATTTCCCCGGTGTTCCCTGCCCCCCTGGCAGCGGCTTCACTCGTTCGTGGTTCGCCTTTCCCCCCATCCGTGATATTCTCCACCTGTCCGTCCTCTGCGTGCCCCGCGTGCCACATCCGCCACTTTTGCATGTAACTTGCATGTTTGTTTTGCATGTGATTGCACCTCTCCCCTTTTTTTTCCCCTCCTTTTCCCCACCCGCTCCTTTCCTCTGCAGGCCGTGGAGGCCAAGGAAGGGCTCAAGGTGCAAGCCGAGAACCTTGTCACCGCCACCATCACCTTCCAGCTCTTCTTCAGACAGTACGAATGGCTGTCCGGCATGACGGTAAATGTGTACGGCATCCGTACAGCGGTGTGCGCACAGGGTGTGTGTTGATAGTTCTGTCCCGATGTCCCGCGATGCCTTCCCCCTGATGGATTAAACACACGCGGTGAGCACACAAGACAGCGACACAGTAAGCGCTGTTTCATTTGGGGGCAATACTACTGGATTTGGATTCCGCGATTCTGGACCACGTGCTGTTTTGCGGCATCAGCGTGATTGGGTAATTTTTTGACAATTTGACGTGATTCACCTCGCATCGCCGCCCGGCGCTAAGCCTTCTGGATTTGTGATCTCTGCTGAAGGGATTTATATATTATATGGTATATTGCTGTCCTCGGGATTCGAACAGCGGACTTGCACCTCACCTGCAGTGGGTTAATTTTACCCACACACTATAATGCAATGCAGCACCATAATATAATATCTCTCATAGGCTTTCATCGTATAATCATCACCATCGCGACACCCCCCTCAGGGCACAGCTCAGCCAGCTGCCGCGGAGCTGTTTGAGCTGTACGGCATCAAGGTCGTACCCGTGCCCACTAACCGTCCTTCCCGCCGCAAGGACCATCCACCTCGCTTGTTCTACGACAAGGCGGTAAAGATGCACTGCTTGGCAGTGGAGGTGATGCAAGCGGCAGAGGCGCAGAGGTACGGCATTGTACGAGCTCACACGTTGTTGCGGAAATGTCATGCGGGGATGCCATACAAGGATGTGTCTGTGTGTACGACTTTCGGTTGTGTCGTGACAACGACCACCACGCACCCCACAATGGCCATCCACTTTCTGGTCTCCAACTCCCAACCCCTTTCACCCAACTACCACTACTGCTGACCTGGCTTGTGTCATGACTGATCGCAGTCGTGGCGCTGGGTCGCATGTGCAGTTGCTACTGATACCGATACTGATACTGATCTCGAACGTTCTTCCCTACTAACGCTATGCGTTAGCCCTTACCGGAAGTATGTGCTGCTGTTACTGCTGCTGCTGCTACAGGCCCGTGCTCATAGGCACCACCACCGTTCAGGAGAGCGAGCTCGTACTCAACTACCTGATGAAAACCGTCTACCCGTCAATAACCGCCGCCGCGGCGCGACGTTCTGCAGCAGCGGCACTAGGTCGCGCTGCCGCCTTTGGTGCGGCTGGTAGCGGCGGCCGCGGTGCGTTCGGTGGATTGGACGGTGATGGAGCCGGTGGTGGTGGTGGCGGTGGATTCATGTCCGGTCCCAAGCCGCGCATCACACTGCTAAACGCCAAACCGGAGCTGGTGCGGTTGGAGGCGCAAGTCATTGCCCAGGTCAGTTGTCAGTTGTGACGGTTATGTCGGTTGGGTTAGTTTTATCTTGGTTTGAACCCCTTTTTCCCCTTCCCCCCGGTGTTTTTCATTCTCCTCGGGTCCTCCTCTGTCCCCATGGTTGTTCCCACCCATCCACCTTTCTCCGCTTAACCCCTTCCCTCCGGGAGCCCCTTTCCTATGCCTCACCCTCTTTCTCCCATGCCTCCCTAACATCCCCCCCACACTTGACTACTACCCCCCTCGCCACAAACGCTTGTTAGGCCGGCCTGCCAGGTGCTGTGACCATCGCCACCAACATGGCGGGTCGCGGCACGGATATCATCCTGGGTGGCAACCCCGAGGGGCTCACCAAGCTGGCGCTCACGCGACTGGTGTACCGCAGATTGCTGAAGTGTAAGATAAGCAAAAAGGGGGGTTTGGAGGGGGGTTTGGAGGGGGGTTTGGAGGGGGCGGAGGGTGTCATCAGCAGGAGCTTGCAGATGATGGGGAGTGGGAGGGGGGTGGGGGGGTTTAGGCGGAGAGGGTGGGATGGCTTGTTGGGGTGGGCTGGGGTGGGCTTTCTGTTTCGCTTGATAACGTGAACGGTGCTTCATAGCGGCATCGATGTCCTTAGCACCGATGCGTCGCATGTCCGACGCGTTATAATGTTTTAGGTAGGTAGGCAGGTAGGTAGGTGGGTAGGTAGGTAGGTAGGCGTAAAGCGGCATTATAGCTGTTTATTGTGGTGCAGGGCAGTGCAATTCAGTGCAGGGCAGTGCAGGGCTGCGGGACGTTGCTCTTGGACAATGGGGCGTGCAGTTGCTCCCTTCAGGGCGCCAACCAACTGCCTGCGTGTGAAAGCTGTCCGAAATCTGCTTTTCCTTCCCTTTGAAACTCTGGGCGCCGCCCTGTTTTACCGGGGCTGTGGACGGATGTACGGCACTCGATGTACGACGGTGTACGAACAATGGACGAGCAGCGGAGGAGCGCGAGACGCTGCCGATGCTTCCTCTGTCACAGCTTGATCCGTACGACACGGACGACTTTGGAGCGATCACCCGGTGGGTTCTGGGTGGTTAGTCGGTTGGTTGGGCGGTTGGGCAACTGTCGCAACTCCTGGTGCGTTTTCCTACCCTTTGATATGCGGCCCCGCTTCCCCCGAGTGTGCTTATTTATTTGCCTAATTAAGCGTGGCTGTCGTGGCCGTCGTACAACGAAGATAAACGCGGTGGGGCACCTACCAGCCGGCTCGGTTTCATGATTTACGCGTACAGGCGTATAGATGTGCCTCGGTCTTGTGCTGTAGTGGTTGCCGTACTGATTGTCGTATTCGTACAACGACAGGATACCGTACAGTACACCGGAGGCACCCCACGCCGGTCTACCTCGCCCGCTTCACGAAGTCTTGTCGACGGCCATCCTCATCTCCTTCGCCGCCAAGCCGCCCACTGCGGAAGAGCTCGCATCCGCCGGCGGCAACGGCGGTGGTTCCGCTAGCTTCACCAGCCTGAGCTCCAGCCTGGCAGGTTCGTTGGGTGGCAGTTTGGACGAGCCGTCGGGTAACGGCGGCAGTAGCTTCGGCGGCGGGGAAATCGCGGCGACGGGCATCAGTTACGGCGAGACGGCGGAGCTCGTGGCGTGGGTGATGGACCGAGCGGAGGTGCTGCGACGAAAGGTATGTACGGCGCCTGTGTACGGCAATTGTTTGGGGCATGCCGTAGGTACCGTATCGGTGTGTACATGGAGAGGGAATCCTCGGTCGGACGTCTGCGGGTACCATGGCAGCTGTGGTAACTATGTAACTGGCCATAGGAACATGTAACCTGTGTGTTTGGTTGCTCGTTGGTTGCTCGCTACAAGAGTCGCGGTTCGTGTAGATGTCAAGCAGGGGAATTGGCAACGCCGCGTTGTTGGAGCATCAAGGGGACTCCAGGGGGGGCGCCTTGATTTCGGGGCGCCTCTTGGGGTAGAGGGGCGCATGTTGCCTCCGCGGTCCGCTACTATGTCGTATGTCGTATGTCGTACGCAGGTTCGTGGCGCGCTACGCCGTACATATCGTGAACACTCGGGCGGCTTGGAGCGACTCAACTATACTTTATGCGTGGCGCCAGTGATTGAGTCCGTACTGGCGGATAGGGAACGGGAGCTGTACGACAAGCATCAGGCGGCGGCGGCCGCGGCCGCGTCGTCGTCGTCGACGGCGGGCATGGTGCGCGGTGCCCCAGCGGGTCCGGGCAGCAGCTTTACGGACGACGACGAGGCGACGGCGGCGGCGGCGGTGGCGACGGCTGCCGCGGCGGGGGGGAAGTACGACGACGGCGAGGAACCCGTGGCGCAGGTAAGACAAACCGGCGTGAGAAATGGTGGCGACGTGGCTGCCTGCATTCAGTTGGTCTGCTGGTCCTTGACAGCCAAAATTGGTTACTTGGACAGCAGTAATGATGTTTTAGTTAGCCACCGGTTTCCTTCCCTTTTTCTAATTGATAAACCGTATTTATTTATTTATTTAATATTATTTATATATTTTCATTCGTGTTTCAAAACTTCCCTTCTTTCTTTCCTCTGTTTCCCTACTGCAGGTTTGGGCCTTGCGTGCTGCTCTGCACCTCTGGCTATGGTTCGACCAGGCAAGTGTTACAATGACCTGAGCCGCTGTGTGCATGACGTACGTGTGTATGCATGTATGCGTGTGTGTTTTGTGTATTTGTGCATCCCCGTGGCGCGGGGGGTATCTACCGAGGCGCCGACTGGGGCCTTATGGAAGTGCTTCACTGTAGCTAACCACATCGGCACCGCCAACACCACCAACACCACCAACACCAGCAGCAAGAGTAGCAACGGTAGCACCAGCAGCACCAGCATAGCAACAGCATCGCAACAGCATCGCAACAACAACAACAACAGCACCAGTACCAGCACCAGCAGCCTCACCAGGCCAACCAGCACTTCACCACCAGGCGACATGCTTCTCAGAGGAGTCGCCGGTCGCTTTCCTTACCACCCCTCCAAATTCCCCCCTCAACCCCTTTCCCCACGAACACCACCACCACCACCACCACCACCACCGGGAGCATCCGTCTATGTTACTTTTTCCCTCTGTGCTCCATGGGACCCCGCCCCATTCCCCCCCTTACAGGAGTGTGCCCGCTACCGAGAGGAGGTCCGGGCGGCTGGGGGGCTGCTGGTGATCGGCACCTCGCTGAACGAGTCCCCTCGGATCGAGCTGCAGCTGCGGGGCAGGGCGGGGAGGCAGGTGGGAGCCTGGGGGGGAGGTAGCGGGGGGAGGGAGGGTTGAGGTGGGACAGATGGCGGGGGTAGGTAGTTGCGCGGTAGAGGCGGGGCTGGGGACGACGGTGGAGGCAGGGCATGTGGTTGTGTAAGAGGGCGTGGTTGTACAGGGTGGTGGTAGTGGAGGAGGAGGGGGAGGAGGAGGAGGAGAAGAGCAGGTGGGTGGTTGGAGGGCAGGGCTCTGCTTGCATGTGTTGTTGCTGCTGCTGTTACTGCTACGTAAACTGGCACCTCCCCCAATCCCCGCTTCACTCGTTCGTGGTTCGTCTTTCCCCCAACCCCCAACCCCTCCACCTTGCATTTTACCTCATCGCGCTGCTGGCAATCAACCCATGGCTTTTCACGAATTTGCACAGCAGCTGATCGGTACATTCCTTCATTTCCCCCCTTCCCCCCCTCACCCCCCTCACCCCCGTTCTCCAGGGCGATCCCGGGGAAACCAAGATGTTGCTGGACTGCGTGGACCCGCTGATGCTGATGTTCGGTATGGATAAGGTGTCCGCCATGCTCACACAGCTGGGCAACCAACTGCAGGTGGGCTGGAGGGGAGAGGAGCTCTGCTTTTAATGCGCAT